TAAATAATATTAACGTTGACGTTAATGAATCATTTTTTCTTGGACAAAAAACAATTTCTTCCTTCATACTGTCATATAAAATGAACAATAATTAATAATAATAAGTATGAAATAACAATATTTTTAGTAATATTATACCTGAAAGAAATTGAGAATCAGAAAAAGATTTTGGAGTATAAGTGTTGATGGAACGAGCGATTGAACGATCAATTTCATCGACAAATTCAAGAGGTTCCATAAGGTCAGGATTATTAGTATAAGTCGCACCGATTACAGTTACTAATTTATTTCCATGTTTCTCAGTAGCATATGCTTTATAAGCTTTGACCCAATCGAGATATTGATCATATAGATGAGGATCATTATCGTCATCAACTATATATTGACGGCAAAAATTTATCACCACAATAGCAAATACACCACAATCTGAAGCCAAAAATAGAACGCATGGATCTTGAAGTAGATTATAAGATTCTTTGTTCCAATGAATATTCCAATGATCATTCCAGTGATCGTTCCAATGGTCGTTCCAATGGAAATCGTATAGATATTTAAATTCAGGTAAATAACTCACAATATTGTTTAAGAGCTCATCGGGATTTGGTATGGAATTGGCGACCTCCCTCCAATAATGACGTCTCCAACGATCTATTTTACTAATATAATCCACGAAAGGTCTATACCAATCTTTAGTAATGGAGATTAAATGATCTATATTATTATCATGATCAGGCAAATTCCAATCATAAGAAAAGGTAATTTCTGAGTTGTTATTAGGAAGATATTTTCCTTCAATATAATTAAAGTATTTTATGGGTTTAAAGAGACGGGCAATTTGATCCAAGCTCTGCTTTGAACAAATGTCCCCATGAAATAGTTTTTGTGACATAATTTGAGGTGATATTTTATTTCTTCCTTGGATTTCTTGAAAAATAATTCTACACAGTTTAAGAACTAAATTTTGTACATCCCTTTTGTAGTCGTTATCCATAACGTGAGAAGTAACACATTCAACACATTTACATTGATATTCCATCTTGTAAAAAAAAAAAAAAAATCTAAAAATTATTTTGTTTTAAAAATTATTTTGTTTTAAAAATTATTTTGGTTTGAAAATTATTTTGGTTTAAAAATTATTTTGGTTTAAAAATTATTTTGGTTTAAAAATTATTTTGGTTTGAAAATTATTTTGGTTTGAAAATTATTTTGGTTTGAAAATTATTTTGGTTTGAAAATTATTTTGAAAATTATGAACAAATATATGTTGTCTTTATCAAAAAAAAAAAATCATCAAAAATTAATATGACAGTATGAAGGAAGAAATTGTTTTTTGTCCAAGAAAAAATGATTCATTAACGTCAACGTTAATATTATTTA